ACTGCAGGCGGGCGGGGCGCGCACCGCGGACCCCGGGAATTGGCCAGTCGCCGCAGGCACTGCGCATGCTCACGGGTGCGGGGCTGCCCCCGGGGGCGGAGGGCGTGGGGGAGGCAGCGCAGGGGACCGCGGCCGGGGCACCTGGAGGGGTGGCTGCTGCTGGGGGAGAGGTCACCAGAAAAGAGATTTCACTTCGACTCCCAGCGTCCTCTCTTAACGCCTGAGTGACCCTTGTTAGCGGGCTTGGTTGCTAAGGGCGATGGCGCCGCCTGCTGTCCGCCGCAGCGCTCAGCTAGCTCAGAGTTTAAATTTCCCCAAGCCCAGTAGAGAGAAAAGCAAAAGGTTTAGGGGGCAGAATGAACCACAAACTTACTGTTCCGGGTTTGTAAAGACTCCCAGAACTCAGAATCCTAACAGCAACTCCCACCTCCCGCTCATTAAGTGAAAAGCACGAACATATATAGTATAATGGTTCAACCTCCTGTTTCAATTCAGTTAGTTTCAATTCAAGTCTATTCTAGGTTTAACTTTGTAGTTTCCCCACTGTGTAAGTGGGCAAATAACTTGATTTCTCTTTTTAAAGGTTAAAATTAGCATTTCCCTATAGGACAGCTGTGAGGATTATGAAATAATGTAAAACGTTTGAAACAATACCTTGCACCTAGTTAATAACTAACTCAGAGGGCATCTATAACCAATAAATAAGGGACTGTCTTAAGACTATGGGTGGCGCAAATAGTTACAAGCTTGATCACTCACCTAAAGGCTGATGGTTCTAGCCTAATGGTGGTGATAATCTATAACACCTAATAAGAAAGGCATGGCAATCTAGTTCCAAAGGATCACAGCCACTGAAAACCATAGAGTGTAATTATATTTTAAAATCCTCGGGAAGCCATATTGTTGTTGCGTAAAGTGGAGTCAGAACTGACTCCACAGGTGGGTTTTCAAAGGTAGTAAATAGCAGGAGAGGAGATTACCCATCTTTCTCCCAAGAAGCAGTTGGTGGATTTGAACCATGTGCCCTCGGCATAGCACAGCTTTTTACCTCAGAGCTCCCTCCCTCCACAGAGCTCACGGGAAGCCATGTGGTTGTTATGGGGTGCCTATGATAGCTCTGAATGCTGCTCTATCCTGAGCCAATCTCCCTGTCACCTACGCACCTGCTCCTACTATCCCAGTCACTCTGTCAAATCCATCTCATGGGTAGGAATCAAATGAGCACCTAGTTTGGTTTTGGTCTTAAGAGGCAGGGAAGGCAATCTCTCTGGGTGGGGCTCACTTTTCTGTCAAAAAAACTATAGCACACTAAGAACCAAATAGATTTCATTCTGAAGTTATAACCTCTGGTTTTAGATTTTCTGGAAGCTGACTGATTCTGGACCCACCTGGGATGAGACTCCATGGAAGGCTACCGAATCCTTTGAGCTGCCTCCGACAGCTGGATGGATGAAAGCCACCAGTGGACCATCTTGGGAACCATCTTCTGCAAACTCTCCCTTGGGTTACATTTTAAACTGCCTTCTTAGTCTCAGGGCTTTCTTTCCTAAGCGTTCTCACATACAGCCTTTCAAGTCCATTTCCAAAGATTTCAGTTTAGGATTAATGAAGTAAAAGGAACACATGCCTGACAAAGCTTCCTTCTCCTCAGCCTTAACAATGCATCTCTTTGCTTTCCTGACGCATTTTCTTTGGCATTCTCACAGCTTCCACTGAGACTCCTGGACTCCAACAAGCGCCAGCAGGAGCCCTCACATCCTGTAGGTGGAGCCACTCGCTTTATTTCCATTCCGTTTATCTGGGCCGACCCGGCTGTTATTACTGATCCTCCCTAAACTCTCAGACTGTGGGTTTCCAATATTGACGGTATGGGGAGTGAGGGTCTGGGGTATTCCGGAAGAGCCAGGAAAGCTGCCGGACACATGCAAATATCTTAAGTCTGCCAACTAGTGACTTAATATCCTGCTTTGTGTGCACCTGGGAAGGTCAGTTTCAGGTGAGTTCATTTTCAGACTGATGTCATTATACAAGTGTTTAGGACAGTCCTCAACCTTGCCTGCATACTGGAATCATCTAGGCATTTAAAAATACCGATGCCTGGGCTCCAACCCCGAAAGAGTCAGATTTAATTAGTCTGGAGTACAGCCAATGATTTAGGTTTTGCAAACTCTCCGGGTGGTTCTGCTTGGATGGAGAATCACACCGGTGACCTAGTGCGTCAAGAGTTGTGGCTGCCATTGTAAAGGCTGACAGTTTGTATCTGCCAGCTGCTCTGCAGGAGATAGATGGGACATCTATGCAATTTACAGCCTCTGAACATTCACACACTGGAGGATCATCTATGAGCTGTTTCTGACTCAACAACATATAACAGCAACAACAGTTTACCAGGCAAAGATTACAAGCGGTTTCAAACACTCAGATATTGTAAATATCAGATAGCTTATACTTCTTGGGGAAGAAGTAGGGAGCCAGAGAGGAGATGGATCTTGCAGTCAGACTACATGGATGGGACAATTACAATAACAAATTCAGAATAAAACAGTCTGGTAGTCTACCACCTGAATTATAGTCTTTTAGGTTAAGGAGGAAGAAAGGCCTGGCAGTCACTGAGAAGTCCCTGAAAACCCTGTGGCTCACAACAGCTGAAGCCAATTGTGCTCAGGGTTATACCCTGAGTGGGGGCAACATAGTGGCAGCTAACACAGGCTGAAAGAGGCCATTTCTGGAAAAGCATTTGTAAAGTATGCTGGTAAACTAGCTGGAGATAATCTCTACCAACATCTGTCTCTTCCTCTTTGTATCTTTATTTTTACTATTCAGGAATCATTCTACATTAGAATGTCACTAAAGATTTCATCAATATTCTTACAGGCCCCAAATAACCCAAAGTTACTTAAAGGGGAAAAATATCCCTATACTACCAAAAAAAAGTACACCCCATTTAGGGACAGTTTTTGAGAGTAAAAAGAATCATATTTCAAGAACCTCCCTCCCCTGAGAGCCCCGCCCCTAAGGCTTTAAATAGCCTCTTTTCTCCTCAGCCCCACCCCATTCCAACACTCCCTTAAACTAGACTTTTCAAAAAAGACCTGATTGCACTACGTAGTTACTGTAATTATTATCTTTTTTCCCCCCTTAAGAATTATAGTAGCATTTTTCTCCTTCACTTGCCTTCAGTCTCACTAGGCTATTTTCAAATTCTCTGCATTCTTTTCCTTATAAGGAATATCTCTCCTGGATCTATCAAGCACTTTTAAAAAAAAAAAGCAACATTAACGTCTTGCTGGAGACGTTAATTTTGGGGAGACAGGCATCCTCGATTTACCATAAACAGAGCAGACATCTGATCTCCATTACACAAAACAGGCCCAGAACTAGATTTGTGTTTTGGGTTTTTTGTTTGTTTCTTTTTCTAAAGCCAGGTATTTATAACTTAAATGCTTTTACTAAATCATTTTCTTTCAAGGACCCTTTCCCAGGAACCTTGATTTTTTACAGAAGATTTCTTGATCAAGTTCTAAATGACTTGTGTCTGGATTTCTCATTTATACAGCACATCCAGAAATATATTTCTAGCCTCTCATGTGACACACAAAATGTCCTGATTTCAAGACCCCAGGCCCTCCTGGTGATAGGCATTTTACTTTCCTAACCAAATATTTCTGCTCTTGCCTTTAATGGATCAACTCCTGGACATCACTTTTCCTGATGCTCATAAATTCTTAAAATATTACTAATTCCCAAAGAATTCTTGCCTACTTAAGCCCCCAGGCTTAAATGGTTTCTAACAGCGCGAAAAGTCTATCCTTTGGAAAGCTAATACTTGGCTTGACTTTTTGTGGCAGATGAGGCAAGTGCTTCAGTTAAAAAGATTCCACTGGGCCCTGGACAAAGTGCTTGTCTGAGCTTCAACAGCCTGTGCATCACCCCTGAAACTATGTGGGGGCTGTCCCAGGGCTGACAGGTGGGGGTGGGGCGGGCAGGAGGGGCAGGGGGCAGCCAGCTCACTATACCATATAAAGCACTGAGCTATATATAACTTGCAGCTTACTTTCTGGATCTAGTGCCCTCAGACTGCAGACCCAAGCAAGTATCATCTTTCCAGCAGATTTTACATGCTAGGTTAAGGCTTCCTTCTTGAGATAGGGAGCACCTCTGGTGGCAAAGTGGTTATATGCTCAGCTGCCACACAAATGGTTGCTGGCTCAAACCCACAGATGAGTCACTCCAAGGGGAGAGCTTTAATCCATAAAGACTACAGCTTAAACCCTATGGAGCAGTTCTACTGTTCTCTAGATGCTTATGATTAGGAGTCAGAGTCAACTTGATGACAACTGGTTTAGAGTCTTGGGTATACAGGTAGGAAGCCTCAAGTCTCTGGGCTCCACCATCAAGCTCAGTCTTCTGGCTAAAAGTACTGCCATGTAATTATTCAGAAGCCACCAGGCCCACTGTACCCTGACTTGACCTACCTCCCCAAACCAGGCCTTCCCACTCACCAGAGATAGTAAAAGGAGGGGGGGGGGGAAATAAAATGAAGGAGCTCAAACATTGTCTGCACAAACCTTCCAGATGATATCATAGGGTTTTTCAGCCACCAGGAGGCCAAGGTTCACCACCGAAGTCCAATTTTAGCAGCTCTATTCTCCCAGCTTCTCCACCCCACCCACCTCCACCCCCACCCCCAGGTGGGGAAAGAAGAGGGAGAAAAAGAGATAGAAATGGATGAAACATGAACGAGTTTGTGCGTAGCAGTTGCAGGCGGCAGCCATGCTCTGGGCCATGGCAGGGACGTGTGCAGGTGTCCAGCAGGAAGAGGGGACCCTCTTCCACTGCTCTCTGGCCTCTGCGGTGACCCCGGGACGGGGGCACGAGGGCAGGAGGTGCGGGAGGCATTGTGTTCGTGCACTTACGTCGGTGGCCTTTTTCTCTGCCAGCTCGAGCTTCTCCTGGGCATCTTTGAGAGCCTCGGAGTATTTGTCCAGTTCATCTTCAGTGCCCTTGAGCTTCTTTTGCAGCGACACCAGCTCATCTTCCAGCTGGGAGTTGGCCGTGATGTGGGGGGTGGGGGTGGGGGTGCAGCAGGCAGCGTGATCCCGCAGGGGAGGGGTGTGGGTGCACAGAACCAGAAGGACAGGGACAGCGGGAGAGAGACAGGGAGAGAGGGGGGGGGGAGAGAGAGAGAAGACAGATAGATTAGCGATTCGTGTGCGCGCCGCGCCGCGCCCCGGTACCTTGGCGGCGGTCTCGTCGGCGGCCAGGAGGCTGTCCTCCGCCTTGTGCAGCTCCTCCAGCACCCGGTCCCGCTCGTCCTCCGACGCCCGCAGCAGCTTCTCCTTGGCCGAGATGTCCTCCTCGAGCTGGGGGGCAGCGGCGAGCGGGCGCGGACGGCCGGCGCGGACCGGGTGTCAGACACACACACACACAATACACAACACACGGAAGCCGGATTGGCTGGGGCTCCTCGGGCTGCGAGCGCAGCCGAGTTGGGGGTTCCAGGGCCATCGGGGGATCCTCCTGTTGTTCCCCCGCGGGAACCCCACCCTGGCCCGCCCAGCACCCCCCCCCCCCACCTCCCGGGTGAGTCCTGCCAAGTTCTCAGTGGACTTAAGGTCACAGAACTCGGGGGCACAGAGAAACGCCCCTGTATCCTCCATCCTGTTCCATCTTTGTTCTTTGGAGAAGACCCCAAGAGCCCCTCCTCTGCCCTCAAATCTTCATCTCAGTGCTAGGTCCTCTAGCATCCACTCAGAAGTCCGGACGAACTCCCTACACTTTCAGAACAGGCACCCTTCGTCCTGTCCTTCCCTCAGATGTCCCAGGCTAGGGTCACTTGACCCCCCGCCACACCACCCTCTGTCCCAGGTCCAAAATAAGATCCCCAATCTTGAGAATCAATTGCCTTGAGGACTTGCGCGCGATGAGAATGAGAGAAGGGAAGTTTGCTCAAAAGAGACAAAAAAGTTAGAATGAGGCCTCGCCTCGCTCTGCCCCTTCTCTTCCCAATCACGCATCCCTCACCACCCCTGGAGGGGTATCCCCGAACCCCGGGGGGCGGACTGACAGGAAAGGGGCGCCAGGCCCAGCTCGGAGCCCCGGCTGGCCGAGCGCGGGCGCCCAGGGCGCGCAGACAGACCTGCTTGCTGCGGTCCTCCGCCGCCTTCTTATCCGCCTCCGCCTGCTCAGCTCGATCCAAGGCGTTCTCCTTGTCGAGCTTGAGCATTTGCATCTTCTTCTTGATGGCGTCCATGGTGGCGGTGGCAAGGGGCCCCTGGGCTGCGGCGGGCGAGGGGGCGCGGCGCGGGCGCGGAGCGGCGAGACGAGGGCGCGGACGGGCGGCTGAGGCGGAGTGCGAGGTCCGAGAGGCCGGCGGCTCCCTGATAAGTACTTTCCCAAGGGGGCGACCGCATTCCTCAAGACAGCCAATACTTTTTTGGAAAAGCTTTTTCCTCCGGCCCCCTTTCCCCCTCTCCTCCCTCCGCCCAGTCCCCTCCCCCCTCCTCCCGCCGGGACCGCTCGCCCATTCGCTGCCGCCTGCCGGCCTCCCAGTTGACGGTAGATATGACTATATATGGGGACCCAGGCGGCTGCCGGACGAGGCCGCCCTGTTTCCAAACCTGCGCGCCAGAGAGCAGGCTCCCGGGCCTCGTTGGGACCCAGCCTCTGCCCTCTGCACTCTGTGCTGCCTTCTCTGGCCATTAGGGTATCAGGCGCGCCGCTTTGAGCTGTGGGAAGTTACTAGGGGTACGAGCCAGACAGTGGGAATGCCTCTCCTTCTGGAACAGTCAGACTCCGGTGCGCTCGGCAGAAGGGTCCCCAGCAACCGCCGCACCCCGCGCAGAGGCTTGAGGTCTCCCGGCACCAGCCCAGCGCCTCCGCGGGCGGCTCCTAGCTCGCCAGGTGGCATCCAGGGCCCTCTCGCTCTAGAAACTCCAGCAGAGCAGAAAAAAGAGAGAGCAGAGAAGAAGGCTGGGGGTTGGAGGGGAATCTTGCTGGTGCGCGTCAGAAACCCGGGGCACACGCAAGAACGGCATGTGGAACTTGTCTTCTGCGTGCCCTTCTGTCGGAGGGGAGAGAAAGACAAATACTTGGGGGCTCAGGACTCTACTGACTTCAGGATCGAATGGGTCTAGCTGGTTGGGTGGCAGTAGGAGTTTAGGGGGACGCAGAATTTAGCGTGGCCTTTTGTCTCTGTCACCAGCCACTTAGTGAACTTGGCAAGTAATAGCCTCTGCAGCAATTTATTCACCCATAAATCCTAATGTCCGATAACCCAACTTTTAAATGACTTTTCTTGCACGGATATTAAGGAGTTTGGCTCTTTTCAACCTCAGGAGCCAGACTATCACGAGCATGGGACGTATGTCATCCAGCTAAGTCACTTTATCCACAGCCCTAAGGAGCCCCCGAAGAAGCAACAGACCCAGGTCCTCTGGGTGAGCTAGGCTGACAAGGCAGAAAGGCCTCCCCTCCCCACGCTCCAGTTAACTCCTCCTACCTTGCTATTTCCAGAGCTGGGTTGGTGGGAGGAAAAGAGGGGCAGGCCAATGCCTTGGTTGAATCGGAACTGGTGAGGGTCTTGTGAGTAGTTTTCAGAGAATAATTCACAATCTGTACTATAAGGTTACTGAATATTCCCCGGACGGCATCCGAGCAGATTAGGCAGGCCAAACAACTTGTAAATCCTTCAGGGAACGATCGAGTTCCCCTGTGGGATTTTATCAGGTTTCTTCCACTAACTCAACTGTCTAGGAAAGAAAAGACACACTGACCCAACCTTCAGAGCATTAGATTTGTGTGCACAGGGGCTACTGGCCCAGACATTCATCAAAGTCCTTTGTTCGTCATGTATCACCCGGCCTGTGGGCCTGTGGTCGACGTTCACACATATCGACTGCAGGGAGCTGATTCCCCAGCACCAAGCGGGGCAGGGACTCAGGAGTTAGAGGCTGAGCCAAGCCCGCCTGGTGATATCCTTGTAAAGTGTCCTTGGCCATGTTCCAATCTCTCTAAATCTGTTTTCTCCACTGTAAAGCAGGGTTAGAAATTCTTCTTCCTTCAGTTTATTATAGGGATGAAAATGAAACAAACGAAAGCCATTTTCTCTGTTACTGTTTTTGTTAAGATGCAGTCCAGTATGACTCAACCACTCTATGTGCAGCTGACCTGAACACTGGCCTTTCCTGTTCCATCCTCATCATCTGTAACACACTAGAGCTCATTGCCGAAGTCACCATGTCAATTCATCTCTTTGGGGGTCTTCCTTTCCTTCGCTGACCCTCCATCTTTTTAAGCATGATGTCCCTTTCCAAGGAATATTCTCACCCGCTACCTGTCCAAAGTACAAAAGACGAAGCCTCAACATCTTGCCAAGGAGTGCTCTGGCTGCACCTTCTCCAAGACAGATCTATGTGCTCTTCTGGCCATCCATGGGATATTCAGTACTCTTCTCCAGCACTACCACTCAAGGGCATCAATTCTTCTGTCATCCTTATTTATTGTCCAGCTCTCTGATGTGCATGAAAAGGAACTGTGTCATTGTTAGGTGCCGTCGAGTATGACTCATAGTGACCCTGTGAACAACTGATCTGAACACTGTCCTATCCTGTAGCATCCTCACAATCTCTGACACACTCAAGCCCAGTAAGGAGCACTAGCACATGGCAAATGCAAATCCACTGCTATCAAGTCGATGCTGACCTACAGGAGATGGCCCATCTTTCTCTCTAGGAGCTGCTGGGGGATCATCACCTCAGGAGATGCATAGTCTTTTGGTTATCCACCAGAGGCCCTAAGCACATGGCAAGTGCTCAGTAAATGTGACTGCTGAATGGCTGTGGGGAAATAATTTCCTCTCTCTGGGCCTCAGTTTTGTCATCTGTAAAATGAAGCAACTGAACTAGAGAAACTCCTTGAAGAACTATGGATTACTGATTCCCCCCTTCCCTATTATATAGAAGAGCAATGATGTCAGTCTGGAGACTAAGGTGCACCTGATCCAGGCCATGGTCCTTGCAATTATGTACTATGCATCAGAAAGCTGGACAATGACTAGGGATGATAGAAGGAGAATTGATGCCTTTGAGCTGTGGTGTTGGAGAAGAATATTAATATATCATGGACTGCTAGGAGAACAAAAAGTTCATTCTAAAAAAAAAAAGTTCATGCTAGAGGGTGAAACCAGGCAATCCTTGGAGGCAAGGATTTTGAAGCTCCACCTCATGTACTTTGGGCGTGTTGCAAGGAGGGATCAATCCTCGGGGAAGGATATCATATTTGGGCGAGTGGAGGGACAGAAAAGGAGAGGAAAACCCTCAACAAGATGGATTGAATCAGAGACTGGGGTAATGGGGATAGGTTGTCAGAGACAATAATATTGGCTCAGGATAGAGCAGGGTTCAGAGCTATGAGTTATAGACCACTTGATGGTACATAACAACAACAATAACAACAACATTATATGTAACATGAGTGAAGAGAGGGCTGGTGGCACAGTGTGGAGGCAGTTGCTTCTAAACCAAAAACGGCAACTGTCTGGTGGTTTGAATCCCTAGCTGCTTCTCAGGAGAAGGATGGCCAGTCTCCTCCCATGCTATTTTTAGCTGCTGAAAACCCACTAGAGAGTCAGCTGTGAGTCAATTCTGACTCCATCACAAAGATTTTTCAGTTTTGAACATAAGTGAAGAACTCATTAAATGGTTCTTAAATGAAATAGACAATTCTTTCAACATGTTCAAATGAGTACCTGCTTTATGGCAGGCAGGCAGGCAGGCAGGCAGGCACTGGTTTCTGGGACTCAAACATTAGGACGACATATCCTTGCTCTCCAGGTGTTTAGTATAAGCAGGACTGAGAATTCAGAGAAAGAGGCAGTGATAACCAGGTTGGAACAGACAGAAAATGCGTTGAAGGAATGATGACTTTTTAAAATAGTTTGAGGATTGTTAGCAGTTATATAGAAGGAAGGAAAATAATATGGGCCATGGAAAGATGATTTTTTTTGGATGAGTTGATACATAAGACTTGGAAAGATCTGTTGGGCCATCTGGTGAATGAAGGACCTTGAGTTTCTTCAGACACAGGTGTTGGAGCTTTATTGTGTGATTTGAGGACATCCTTCTCTCTCCACTTCTTCCTACCCCATTCACAAGTGGTTGAATTTAGAAGCAGAAGTCTGTGATGTTTATAAGCGGAAGAGCTTTATAAAGCTGCAAAGACCCAATTCTCTTTGTACCATGCCATTGATCACTAGATTGAGGACTTAACAACAGCAGGTCCCTGGATTTAGTCTTCTCCATTTTTCATCCTGGGTGAGACTCTGATCCTTGAATAGCCTAGTAGACAACCGGGCCACCCCAGCTTTATGGACAATACCAACTATGATCTCCCTGTCATAGAAGACTAGCCAGCCAGTTACCATCAAGTCAATTCTGATACATGGCAACCCCATCTACTGCAGATTTGAACTATGTTTCTTAGTATTTTACAAACTGACCATCTGGAAGCAGATATCCAGGCTATTCTTCTGAATGCCTCTAGGTTGGCTCAAATGGTGAAGATTTCAATTAGTCACTTACTCACTCACTTACTGCCACTGAGTCAGAACTAACTCATAGCTAATCCTCCAATATGCTTTTAGAGGCTGTAAATCGCATGGCAGAACATTGCCCATCTAACTCCCTCAGAGCAGCTAGTAAATTTGAACTGTTTGCCTTTGGGTTGGCAGTGCAACTCCTTACCCACTAAGCCACCAGAGTTCCCTTTCACTTAGTAGCAGTGTAGCAATTGTTTATTCCTCCCAGATGCTCCTTTATCAAGGACTGTTGTTGTTATGTACTGTCGAGTTCGAACCAACTCACAGCTGACCTCCCAATGGGTTTTCATAGACTATAAATAGCACCTGGCCCACTGACTGGAAGAGATCTACATTTGTTCCATTCCAAAGAAAAGTGATCCAACAGAGTGTGAAAATTATCAAACAGTATCATTGATATCACATGCAAGCAAGATTCTGCCGAAGATTATCCAAAAATGACTGGAACAGCACATCAACAGAGAACTGCCTGAAGTGCAGGCTGGATTTAGAAGAGGCTATGGCACAAGGGATATTATAGCTAATGCCAAATGGATCTTGGCTGAAAGCAGAGAGTACCAGAGGAATGTCTATGCTTCATTGACTATGCAAAGGCATTTGACTGCATGGATCACAACAAACTGGCTGACTCTGAGAAGAATGGGAATCCCAGAACATTTGACCGTGCTAATGTGAAACCTATACTTGAACCAAGAGGCAGTCGTCAGAACAGAGCAGGGCAACACTGCATGGTTCAAAATTGGGAAGGGTGTACGCCAGGGATGTGTCC